CGTACCTCATCATAAGGGGGAATACACCCCACCGTTACATTCAGTTTCATATTTATTCTAGCTCTTTCATTACCTTTTGCCGTTGTTATCCTATGCGGTTTTAGTCTAGTGCTCGTATCAGTTCAGCCTATTGTTCATGTTTTATTTCTTAGTTAGGGTAGGAAAGAAGGAGGAGGCAATCACGCCACTACGTTGTTATTGCGTTACTTTCAGCGGTATCTAGCGCGCGCATGCGCCCGTGGCTCATCTTTGTAATTCCTTGCGGTTCTCGTTCGGTCTTCAGTAAACCTTCGTTAAGACACAGTTTGTTCCTTATTGGCGTAGTGAAATCGATTGGATTCCTCAGTTCGTGTGGACTACTCCTTCCAGTGCATGCCTATCTGGATCAGACTCAGGCCCTTCTTCATGACATTCACAAGGAATTTATTACATAAACTACAACGAAGATTCCCAACAACTAAGCATAGTTCTACTTCCACTTCAAACAGCAGAAGCCGCTCACAGAGGGTTGGTCATCAATCTAACGAGTCTGAGATTAAGGACATTGTCATTGTTGGTTTACAGTGTGAAAAAACGCCAACAACACGCCAATAGAAGATCAGTTTCCAATGTAGAACTGACATTATTAGTGGGTTTGCACTTGAAAAGGTTGGAATGAAAAACTCTTTATAACAGAGTGAAAGCACAGTTTCCTAAAGATTGCAAAGATGTTGAGTTCGAATTTGTGAAGGTCACCCATCACTAATAAGGCTAAAGAGTATCGCCTTTACAGGTGCTGCATATGTGTGTATTGGTTGAGGATGACCTTGAAGATGGCATTGGTATGCAAAAAGGTATGGACCAGTTCATGTCTGAGGCAAATAAAGAAACTCATGTAGAAATCACCACCATACAAAATGAAGTGCAACCTATGCTCCTTCAAGAGCCAGATAAGAAGCCCCAAGAAGTAGATGACAAGGTCAACAAAGAAAGAATAGCCCAGCAGATATTTGCCAAAATCCACCTTCAATTGGTGGATAATGCCGCTGAAGATGTTATCATTGTTGCTTTGCCGACAAAGTTCGGAATGGCTCGTGTCTTCTGTGGCAGGCGTTATCGACACGCTCAATGTCCTTCGTTCTGATTCCCATCGCCAGGTTTTTAAGCTACTGTTCCCCGAACTCTACGAAGCTGACGTGACCGTTCTGTTTACATGCCTTGCCCAGGTTTCTGCAGAGAGGCTGCTGGTGCCACACAAACATGACGCAAGTTCCTTGAAGTGGGAACGGGATGAGTGTCAGAGTTACCCATGCGGATACTCGTGATGTTAACCTTTCCCAGCTGTTGTGGTGTGCCAATAATAAGAAATTCGGTTTTGTCATCATTCAATTTAAGACAGTCATTCAGTATCCACAAACGAATATCCAATATGCAATTTTCAGTGCTTTTTATGGCTAAAAACGGGTCTGACTTAAGATTAGAACTAAACGAAATGTAAGCTTGTGTATCATCTCCATAACAATGAACTTCAGGCAGATAAGTTTTGACAATCTCAAAAACCAACAACAACAACTTTATTCTTTGTACAAAAATACAAAAGTTGGATAGTTTGCCCCACAAATATGGAAAGCTAGTCATGGCGGGGCAAGACAAGTACATGAATAACACAATTAACTAATAAAAACAAAATTGTTCAACTATTGGAAAGCCTTGCACATTGGAACCAAGAATAAATAAAACAGAAGTTAAGTGATCTAATTCACACAGCTTACTGACGTCCAATGCATTAGGACAAGGGGTCACTGACTCTTAAATGACAAAATAAAAAGAAGAGCAGACATTAACACCTTTATCAAGTGTATCCATGTACCTACTTCTTTAATAATCATCCTGCTTTTCTAAGATATCAAATAGCAATTTGTGGAGAACTCTTTTGAAAGCTTTCTGTGGAAGATCCGTTATAAAGCATGGAATTTTATTCCACAGCTTTACTTCGAGCCAAGATAAAGAATTGTTTTGTATTTCCTGTCTACAACTTTTTTAACAGAGAACTTACCAGACGTAGACGATTGTGTATTTTATGAGTGAGTATTAGACGTTTTCTGAAATAAATTTAACCTGTTTGCTGGGGCTTTATCATTATTGATATCGTGTATCAAGATTGATATGGACTCATAATAAAGAAAAGTTATTGGAAGCCTGTTAGCTTTGAGAAATAGAGGAATGCACCTTTGAGTTTCTCGAGTCACGCAGTTTCTCACCTGTTTTAATATGAAAGATGGAATAACAAGAAAACGTTTTCTTTGCTGTGTCCATTTTTTTCTATCGCTGTATTAGTACATTACTGAAAGGTCACGGTTGTATTAACGATTTCAACACGTGATGGTTTAGATGCGTAGTCAACCAGGTTGATTACACAGAGGAGAGGGAATGGTGTCAATTTTTACCTCCATCACATTCTCTCTTCAGTTCCCGTCCATGTGCTTCGATGGTGGAAGGAAGGTGACAGTATTTTAGAATGTTTTAATAAAAGATCAAGACCGGAAACAGGAACAGGGAAGTAAACTAAATTATTACCATTGTTTTTCCATTCATAGTTTTTGTCCAGTCGCCAAACTTGCCACAAAAAATCAAATTTAAGATTATTCACTGGACAGTGACTGGATTGTTTTAAGACGACAAAATTGCATTTTCAGGCACTTCATAATTCAAATGTCTTCTGAAAAGATTTCCCTTTGGTTTCTGTAGTTAATATCTGTAGAAACTTTCATAAATAAAGATTCTCCAATGAAATTTGACTGAGACAAGGCTAGTATAAATTAACTTCATGCTGCCAGCTAGTGGTGAAATGACTTGTCTTGTTGGCCTGTTGTTGCTGCTAGCGCAGTGTTGCTGCACACGCAAATTTTACCGCGTGATGATTGCATTGCCGGGTATCCAAGGCTTTTTTCATGGAATGGGGATGCCACAGATGTGCATTAACCTGTTTGGTGTGCTTAGTTACACAGTCATTACCTTATAATTTTTAGTTTCGTTACTTGTTAAATTACTTAAATTACATATAAAACCATCGAGGCAGTAACGACCCATTTAGTCTGGGTGTAAAAGATACAAAATGCAAAAATTTTGAGTTAAGATGCGTTACATTCAAGTAAGTTTTATTGTTGCCCCCAAAGGGTTACAGCCCAGAGACCGGAACCAGAGGAGGCACCCCTAATTTCCCCCGCATAAACTGTTAGTATGCAAAAATTTCTCGATTTGATGAAACTAGGCGCGCACAGTAGTCCTGGTTAATTTTCATCATGTGTACCTGGCTCAGCAACCGTGCAAACTGGGTTTGGCAACGAGTTGCATTTGCCGAATTGTGTCAGGATTTCATTCCAAGCTATAAGTGAGTATTTTTATCGTTGAGTATCTTGTAGCACATCAGTTTTCCGATTTCTTTTAATTAAAAAGCTATTCAGCAGTCCTGGAAATGTTTGGTATTACAGAACTTGATTTGTCAGACACAAATCAGCAACGTGGATCGACAGAACTTTGAACTTGATTTGTCAGACACAAATCAGCAACGTGGATCAACGGACTCAATTCCAACCACATCAGGAATAGCTCAAATATTTCAAAACCCAGTCAAAAACAAGAAAGGTGCTAATGTGACATAACCCGGTTTTGTTCTATATCAAGGTATTCAGGATTTAATCAAGAAGAGCAAAGGATCAGAGAAAGTGAACTGAGAAAGATCTCAAAGGTGAGAAACTAGAAACAGTGGTCCATGTTTTTGTAGGGTTAGTTTATTGCAAGACACTTGAAACAGTGGTCCATGTGTTTGTAGGGTTAGTTTATTGCAAAATCCCGATTATTTTATTTGATACAAGGATCAGAAAAAGTGAACTGGGAAATATCTCAAAGGGAGAAACTTAAAACAGTGGTCCCTGTTTTTGTAGGGTTAGTTTATTGTGAAATTATTTATATCACTTGCATTCAAGAATGTCACACTCGAAGCCAAAGGAGTCGTTTGTTACGTTTCGTAGGCAAAACTTTCAGTTGGACAATTTATCTCACAAATCAACCATCACCACTATCTCACAGTGATTTATTATACCACATTACACTACTGAAATTTTTCACAATTACATCAAAATTTGTTATACCTCAAAATTACACATTAGTTATAGGATATTTCTATTGTTAGTTACAAATAAATAATTAAAGATGGTTTTGTTGTTTAACATGCATTCTATTACATTTGCATCGTTGGTTGAACTCATTATGAGATGTATAAAAAACAATTGTCCATCCTAAGCATGACATGTATGAGGATTTTCATTAACCCAGGAAACAACGTGTAATAATTGAGGAAACACAAAAGAAAACAAAAGAATTACACTCAAAAACTCTAATACGAAAACTGCATTTCAAAGGTTCATGGCAAATGCATGGACAACCACATGGAGTCTTAATTAAGTTTTTAAAAGGTCGGGTCAGATTTAGTGACAACTATGACTAGTTACTAAACTGTGTGTACATTAAAAGACCTACAAGTGTAGCTGTTTATGCCGTGGGTACTGCCTTAAATGAGAGTGAGCTAACAAGTACTTCACCTGCTAAGTCATCAGTCACCGGTGCAAGTGAAAATAGCCAACTCCTGGCAAAGAAAGTCCCCAATACGTCTGACACTCCACAAGACTGCGAAGAACTTACAGAGAAAGACTTTAATGATGTTTTCATAGTCCATAGTAAATACAATTGCTCGCAAAAGAACTGCGTAAATCTAAGCTCTCAGGAATTTAAGCTGATTAAATGCCTTGGCACCGGAAAGGATTGCTTTAACCATCAGTGGCTCCTAGATCCAGCTCCATCATATTGTGAAACGACTGGCTACTTTTGGCTCCTATACAAGGAGGGTGTTGGAATGTTTTGCATAATATGAAAAGAGCACAACAAGATCAATTTACAAAACAAGTCAAGTAAATTTAACATTGAAGCCTCTGTAAGATTTAAACGCAATGCTGTTTTGGAACATGGTAACTCACCAACAACACAAATCTGCATTAGAAGCAGAGATTATAAGAAGAATTTCGGCATTCCATAAGGAAATTGAACGAAGAGACCAGTCTAGGGATGATGTAATCCATTCAGCATTTCTCTTGTTATATTGGCTTGCCAAAGAGGAGGTGGCAAATAAAAAATTTGCAGCCCTTCTAGAAATGAAAGAGCTCCTTGGGCTTTCCAACATAAAATTCTTTAACCACAGACCAACAGGTGCTACACGCAAAATGTTCCTCATTTTTGGACAGGTAATTAACAGGTAATGAGAGAAAACATTCCACATGAGATTGCTAAGCCAACAAACAACATGATGACCAAGTCCCCAACAGAGTGGCTTCTTACCAGCATTTTCTCCTAAAACGCTCCGCATTGCTGAGGTGTGCTTTTCTTTGCCAGTCAAAAATGCTTGGCCTGAAAGGGGCGCCTCAGCAATCAAGCATATCAAGACACAGATGAGAAGCAGAATCAAAGATGACATGCTTGAGGCACTGATGAAAATTTCTAATAACGGTCCAAATATAAAATAATGAATGCACCAGTGTTGTGAAGGAGTCAGTCCAACAGTGGTTAAAGGAGAAGCCTAGAAGGAAGCTGGCCAAGAAGACTACAACTGGTTATCGCAACACCTCTACAGTTTCAATGAGTGATGCTGCAGTTGAAGTGGAGATTTCTAAAACTGAAGATGAAGAGCCTGAGAATATTGATGACAGCAAAGTAGTTTACATTGAGGAGGAAGATCAGCTTCAACTTGAGGTTAATGCTGCTATTGCAGTGATGAAACTACCAGATGGTGGAGACAGTAACTCAGAGAGAGCTTTTGAGTCGGACAATGATTATGACTAACGTTAGGTACGTCATACTCTGTAGTAATAGTCTGGCAAAGCGTTACATTGTTTCATCCTGGCTAACAGGTCCTTGGCTAGCAGTTCTTCATTTATCCAATGCTGCAGTAGTTTAAACACCTTTTTTCGGTAACAGTTTGTATTAGCTTTTAAAAGTAATCAGTAATGGAATATGCTAGTGACCATAGACTGATAGTGAGACAACAATAAAACAAGATAAACTTCCATTATATTTGTAAACATTGTTTTCCTATTTTATTTGACGTAATACTTCTGGACTTCAGCTATGCATCTGTAAATGCTTCACATTGCTGTATACTGTATGTAATGAAAAATTCCCAAGATTCAGTACTCTATGGTTGACGTTATCTTTTTATTACAATTGAACTTCACCTGAAAAACTAAATACGGTCGTCACTAATGCTGTTGATAATTCATCGATATTTAGTGCTGAATGCCAGAATGTAGGAAATGGCATTTCCGGGCTTCTAGACTCCCAACATTTTCTGGGGGAGCTGCCCCCAGACCCCCCTAGAGGGAGGGGCCTCAAGGCCCCTGAAGTGTTACAGTCGCCTACTTTAATAGGGTCTGCCGCCTACTTCAGAAGTTATTGAAAGAGGGGGGTGAATAGGTCCGCGGATCGGCGGATTTGGCCTTAAAAAGCTCACGGATTGTGGATTTCGGCGATAAATCGAGCGGATTCGTGGATTTGAAAAATACCGTGGATCGCGGATCAGCTGAAAGTTTTGGCCCGGTTTCCGGATTCTGTCAGTCTAGAAGTTCGGATTGTGGATCGGATCATCAATTTTCGGTCGGCCTTGGTCAATGTGCTAGTGTTTTGTCGGCTAACGTTTCCGGAAGAGACTTTCTCGTGAACCGACGCATATACATGTGTTCTAGTATAGACAGTGACGGAAATGACGTCAGGCAACCTTGTGCATGGTTCAATGCTGCGTCGATTCCAGTCAGTGGGGAAGTGTGGTGAAGCTACGCAAACACGTGCGGTAGGTTTTATATTTGGTTTATACATGAACTGATATAAATTATGTTCTTCGAAGCTATTTCAGCTAGTTTGCTTGTCTTGATCGTTAACTAAGGCATAGACCTTTTCACGGTTTCTGTCGCCATCTTGGTTGAGGGCAATCACGGCAAAATTTACAATAAATGTATGGTAAAAGTCGGGAGATTGATGCTCTATAATTTGAGGAAAGTTGACATTCTGAAATTTCTACGATTTACAAACTAAAGATACTAGTAAAACAGTTAACCAATTAAGTTTGAAGGGCATCGGTTGGCTGAGAAGCGAGAAGTCTTACTTTTAGTTTTCATACAAATGCTTCTTCGTTTTCCCGCTAACGGCAGCTCGCCTACAGCGCCTCCCACATTCATTTCGTAAGGACTGTTATACTGGATTTTTGGGCCCTCACATTTAATGCTAGGATTAACAGCAACTCATGAACTATAACAAAATCAAATTTACAAATTGATCGGTGAAATGATAAACTGGATTTTGCTCCTTATATTTAATGCTAGGATTGACGATCATTGAGGACTCGTTGAGTACAAAACAAACTACGAGTAAATGAAACTCTGTATCTGCACTGGAAAACAAAGGCAGTTTGCCGTGGCTAACTCTTTTATCCGTCTGTTGCCAAATGGGAACATGTTTATGGGAAAAAGATTATGGTCTCAAGTCTTCCAAGATGAACCATGGAAAATACTTACTGGTGAGCAAATTACCAGGAAGTTGAGTTCTGCCTCTTCCGAATTTTGCGGCTCGACTAGAAGCATGACCAAAGTGATATCAGTAAGTAAATTTATTGAAAAATCTTGTACGCAATACCAGATACTTTCGTTTTGCAAGCTTGCAGACTATTTGATTGGTCAAATCTGTATTGTTGGAAGAAACATTATAAGCTCTGTCCCTAATGCTTAATGTTTTGAAGATGTAACGAAAACCTCTTAAACATGAAGTCCCGCATCTGTTGCGATTACAGAACAACAATATTAAGTAATTCATTTTTTCATGCTACAACGCTACTTTCTATATACGACGAAAAACTTTTAAAGTAACACGGATTCGGATTTGAACAAAAATTAAGTCTGATCGACGGATCGGGCCTAAAAATACCACGGATCGGCGGATTTGCATACCCCTATTCACCCCCCTCTTGAAACCCCTGCTAGTTCTACAGTTCGTGCCAGCTGTGTTGGGCTATCACCACGTTCCCATCAGAAGCTAAAAAGAGAGGGTGAAACGATCTGCGAGGAAAAGGGAACACTAGTTTATAAAAAAAGGCATGGTAAAAGAGACGTTAATATATTGTCAACCAATTTTGAGCCTAAAACCGAGAAAGAAAGACGCAAGAGGAATGGAGATGATGCTCATGTCAAGAAACCAGCCTGTCTTGACATGTACAATGACAACATAGGGGGAGTCAATCGCTCTGACAAGCTTCATCTTTCTACACCACTTCTCAACCCTCCAAAAAGTGGTACAAGCATTTGTTTTGGTTTATTTTTTAGCTCTCTATTGTTAATTCGTTTGAAATTTTCCTAGAAAATGTCATCAGGAGGAGAAGGCGGCAAACAACTCTATTGAATTTTCGCTTTAGACTGGCAAAGCAGCTCATTGCTGGATTTTGCAGCCGAGCAGACAACCAAAAGCACACAATGAAAGCAGCCTCTGTGGAGGCTAACACTACTCCTGAGAACGCTTCGGGGCATTTTATTAGCCAAAGGGAAGGAAATGCAAAAATGAGGCACCGTGTACAATGCAAGAAAGACGGTAGAACAACCGCAAGTAATAGAGCAAAAGAAACAATCTATGAGTTTGCGCAATGTGGCATTGCATTGTGCAAAGATCCTAGTTTCCGTTTGTTTCACTCTGTGTAGATAAGTGTAAATTCCAGAATTTGGCTGAAAAACAACACTTCAGTCATTTGTATATATTTTTATTCAATTTTGTTCCATCTTCTCTGGAGGTTACATACAGTACAGGGCACGGGCATTGCAGCACTTACACATGCATAAATTGCGTGCAATGGCAGATTTCTAGCAAAAAACTCCTGTAAATTTTTCACAAGCTCTTATATGCTGCCCTTTTACACCCAAATTTGCTTGTATTTTTTTGTTACAAAAACACACAAGTTGCATGTATTTCTTTACAACAGCAAATGTCAGGAGCCCATGATGGCTGATGTATAAATTAGAAACCAACATTGTGGAAAACAACTTTTGACGGTGAAAAAGAAAGCGACTTACCATACATTTAACGTTGCAACTTTCTCTTACTACAAACGTCATGTTTTGTAAATCAACGATTCATGTTATGTAAATTCCTTGGCTGTTGGCTGCAGTGGGGTTTCCAATTACAATACACTATGTTACATATAACCTTGGATGCATTTTACTTGCCACGTTGACTGTTGTTTTGAAATAAATTCAATGTTTTCCACTTCTGTACAATGTTTTATTTTTCGACTTGTTACACATTTAAAACACGATTCGAGTTATCAAGGGTAAAATTATAGAGAAATTATCTGAAGGGAAACAGAAATTACTTCAAGCTAACTTTCTCTTACTATGAATGTCATGTTTTTGTAATGACCAATTCATGTTATATAAATTTCTTGGCTGTTGGCTGAAGCAGGGTTTTAAATTACAATACGCTATTTTACATATAGACTTAAGATGCGAGTGACAAAAATTCAATGTTTCAGACTTAAGCCAGAGCTGTCAAAAAGGTTTTAAGTAGCAGGCTGATATTGAATAGTAGGCAGCTTTGGAACTCGCACCAAAGGCACAAGTTCTTAAAGGCCGAGGCATCTAGGAACATTTTGAAATTTAGAGTCTTGGGAATCACATTTCCAGGGGTTTTCAAGAAGTATTTTCCACCACGGATACCATGTTGTCTTCTCAAAATAAAAGCAAGACTGGGAAAAATGCTGTTGAAATGCCCCAGGCATTCCAGGACATCACACGGTTCGAACATTTCACAGATCTAAACCTGTGTAAGGTGGCTTGACTGGACTTTTTGGGGGGGATCACTCCCAAGTTTGAGCATTAACTATGTCGGCATGAGTAAAGATATGGCAAACAGAGTTGCCATGGCAACGTAACAATGCCAT